TGTGTATATTCGAATTTTTGTGTTCTATCTTATAAATGAAATTTATTTTGCGTTACATGACTAACAGAGTTATATAAATATAAATGATATACATTATATATTTACAATTACATTATAATTTTCCATTTAAGCAGTTTCTTAATTTAATTTAATTCAAAGTTTAAGTTAGCACAGCAATGTACAATATCTTGATTTATCGTGAAAATATACTTTTTTATGAACTTAACTTTCTTTGCAGTCAACGTTCAAAGTAGTTGTCCTTAAAGAGATCCCAATTGTAATCGTCGTTATTAACTTTCGTTGTTGAGGCGCTCTATTGTAAAAATTCTTTCGATGCGACATGATTTCTTAAGAGGGCAAATCTAATTTTATTTCTTGACAATTTTGTTTCTATTGCATACGTGATCTGTTTCGCAAAAGTAAAAACTACAAATAAATCGACTAAAGAGTCTACAATCTTATGCAATCCAGTGTTATACATATACGCCCTATTGAGGATTCGTCGCAACTTCAATTTAGTAACTTGTGAGTTATACTAGAAGAAATTTTTTTGTAAGCATAGTTTATTAAAATTTGCGAATATAGTTGCTTGCTATAGTAAAATGTCGTTGTTTGCATCTGCACGATAATTCATTCATAGAGACATCCCACTCATCGGTAGTAACTACATGTAGAAACATTTTGATGAGAAGAAGCATAACTATACATATATCTATTGAGAGGGAATAAGAACATTCTAATATTAAATAATTTTTAAGTTTTATCGAATTTACCTATTTTTTTTTTTATAATTTTGTTATATTAGTTAATATAAGAAAAATCACAAAAAGTTGTCTTTTAATTTGGTCGCATTTCTTAAAAGGCTTTTTTATTCCCTCTAACGCGAGAAATAGAGAATACATAGTACAATTCATGAACTATTCAAATAATGCGCAAAGTGCACTTACATTCGTGTGTTTACGTTTTCACAAAGTTTATAAACACGCTGAGCCAATCATTAAACTTGCAATATTCTCATGAAATACTTGTCAATTAAAGGAGCCTTTCATTTCATACAGACACAACGAAGATCATCTTAATACTTCTTAGATAGAGTTAGCTAACTAAAATTATGTGCGGCACGAGATTAAATTTCCGTGAAATTCTTCATTTTTTATAATTCTTGTACATAAATTAGTATTTTAGGAACAAATTGTTAGTTCTTGATTGCTTACTAATGTTATTTTAATTTTTAAATCGAACTTTGATTTTCGAAACCTAAGAGTAATTCACTAATTTATAACTGAAAAAAATGGTATTAAAAATAAATGTATTCGTAATTATTTTTGAAGAAATTAATAAATAAGAGTGTTTATGTATTTTGAGGAAGAAAAAGTGCTTATAAAGAAAGATCTCGTAAAGCACGATTTTTTGTCGAGTACCTTTCAAGCGTTCGAGGCATAAATTCGTTTGCTAGAAAAAAAATGTATAGCATGCACATATTCATTTATACCGCATACATATGTACATACAAACGTGCGCGCATTCGGACACGTGCATTTACTCGACGTTGTGACGATTGACTATTTTGCTCTGACTAATGCATTTCTTCCGCGCAGGTCTTCATGCTTAAAGTTATTCTGGCTTTTCGTGTCGTGCTGCCGCGCTGTCGTGCTAAAGCACGCGATACTTTAGCAAGAAAATCTCTGTCGCCAGGGTCACGCACAGGATCGCGACGTGGGAGCCACAACAGCAGCGGGAACGCTTCGGCCGCCTCGGTGAAATCTAATAAATCTCCGAATCATACGAACAACGTCACCGACCCGGTCCTGGAGAACGTTACCATCGAGATTCGCAACGCGAAGGCATAAAATAGGACCGTCTTAGCACGAACAATCTGATCGACAACACATTCCTGTTTATCATTAGCCCAACATAGATTAACGCTGCGCTACATCGCATAGTTCGCCGTCCGTAAATAAATCTTCGACCCGCGCGTATAAATTGGCCAGCTCGGTCTCCAACGTTTCCGTTCAGTGGGTTGAGGAACGAAAATGTAACGTTCGATAATGCAAATATCATTGGTAAAAATACTTTCGCCTAGATAAATTGCGACGAAATACCGACGATTTGAGATCTCGACTGATGTCAAGATCTCGACGAGGTGGAGGTATAAATTATCAGTAATTGGGATCGCCTAAGTACGTATTGATGCTGCTTTAATCAATAGTAGGAGAACCATCCGGTTAGATTAATCGCGAGGAGTCTTTTCAGCAGTGTTTCTCTTTTGATATAATTCGATATTCCTCTATTTAATAGAAACGTAATCTAATAGAACGTAATTGAATGATCGTCAAGAACGTTGATTTTTGTTTAAGTTTCTTATTTGCTGATAGAAAAATCCTCTCAAAGAAATAGAAAAGAAACATAGTTCGTTAAAAGATAAACTATCAGTAACGCCTATTATGATGTTTTTAGCAATAGCAGTTGTAACTAAAACTGACCGATTAGTGATCGTATTGATTACATCAAGTTTAATCGTTTATATTAACTTGGACGGAATGTTAATGAGCTGTCTTGAGAACAGAGAATTGTTTAGCAAAAAAAAAGCGATTCGGTACACGCGATCCAATACGTTTAAGTTGTGAAATATCGTAGAAAATATTTCGGGAGAAATTCCGTTTGAAGAACATTATTAAAAAAAGATGAAAAAAAAATCCGGTGCAATAAATTGAGAAAATTTGAGAGAAAATGAGAGAGATGAAAAATCATCATACCTCTTTATACTGTGACAACGTAATTCTGTTGCTCGTCCGACTATCGATGCAGTTTCTCGACCCTTTACTTCATGATAGTTGTTTTAATTATTTCAGAAATCAAAACGCGGCCAACGTAACATTTGCGACAATTTCGAAACATACACGTAATGTAAAGGCCTTTCGGACCAAGCGGTTGCGAACACCGCATTCAATCGTTCTGTTTAATGGAAATGTATGTAACATACGTAACAAGTAATTGGTGTACCATTGTATGCTAATATCCAGTATATCAGGGTCACATAGAGCTCGCAAAATATCTCGCAAAGGATATATCAAGAGCGAATATATCCAGTAATATAATAACGTGGTCCGTTAAGGAAGTTATGGAAAATAACGGTTGCAATTGACTGTAAATTGTCGGTCCACATACAAGCAATTAGAAGATCTCGTTACTCTTAAGAGGAAAGTATAAACAACAAATTAAAACGATGAATAGTTTTCTTCGACTAGTGCCAACTAGTCGATTCACAAATCATAGATCACGTTAAGGATTGAAGCGAGGACAAGTCATTCACAGCGTCCATACGATGATCGACAAGATCAGACGCGTACGCCTTTTCCCTGAAAGTTTTTTTTCGGTACGTGACACCGCAGCATCGAGACGCGGCAGGACGACGATCGCGAGATCAACGATTATTAAATCCTTTACATCGAAAGCGACGCTGCGGCTCGATTGGCTCGCGATAAGCCAACACGAAAGGGACCAGAGCAGAGCGCGACACACGTTTTCGGAGGTGCGAAGTTGAAAACGAAGTGCGTTGCCGGATTCGCTAAGACGGTGCCACGCGGAGATGATGAAGAGTGCATCTCACGAATATTAAGCCACATACAATCATAAGCGTAGCACTAAATGATATATATAATTACATCAATTAAATGTAATCAGCACGAGTAGACGACATTTCCTCGAGGTGTGCACCAAACTTTCACAGAAGAAAGGCTTATTGCTTAAGAATAAAAATTTTCCTTTATTGTAAGAGAAATTTTTCGATGTTTAGAAGTTCTTTCTGCCTACTTTGAGAGTTTGTTACAATATCCACATTAAATATTAGCGGAGAAAATTAGAATGCAAAATAGAACATTTGAAAGAGAAATATAAGAGAAAGAGAAAAAAGAAAAAAAAGAGTTCCTTTTAAACAAGTGCGTATCTTATTACAAGATATGTACTACATATTATCAGAAAAATCGAAGTAATTGCAAGTTTCTCAGAAAATTCTAAACAATTTTAGAAAAACCTCTATTCGAGGAATTTTGTTTGAATAAAAATTTTCTTTTTTGAACATTTCTAGCTTGCCGTTTCACGGCTTTCCATAGAAATCTACATGAGGCATTACCTGCGTTTCTGTCGAATTAAATGAATGAAGGAAAATCGTAGAATGACCAATAGATACGTATATTTCTACTTTGTTTTATATACGTATCACGATGACATTTTAGCGTTTAATGTTAATACTCACACAACAGATTCGTCCCTTTTCGCAATCAAGCTTACCGCTAAACGTCGAACCCGACAGTAATTAAATATACAATCGCAATTCGAAATCTGATATTCATGTTTGAGTGTTGACAAATTAGATTCATTGAATATTCAGATGGAAATGTACGTCGAGCTTGACATTGACGCAATATCGGCAACAACTAGTAGTTGGAAATTTATGGCTTTCTTCTTATTGGCGACGAGAAGCAAGAGAAAGAGGGGTTGAAAAGATAAAAAATATATTAAGAGGCATAATTCTTTAAAAAAAGGAGGCATCAAAAGATGAATCTATAGTTTGTAGCAGTCCAAAGAATATGCATATAATCCACAAGAGTTCTACGACTAAGTTCTAAGACTTAGAATAAGTAATTTGGAATCACAAATGATAATATTACTAATTATATCATAAGATTTGTCGTTTATTATCGCTTTTGCCTCCTACAACTCCTCTCTTCTCTGCGACACGCATCTTTCATCTCGTCAAATTTTGCTCACGCGACACATCTTGATCGCTAGAAAAATGCTTTTATCTTGCTTTGCTGGAAATAATAATAACATTTGTACCATATTGGTGAATGTTTCGTGGATTTGCCAGGACCAACGGAGATCCGTTGAAACCCTTATGTCTAGTGTTACGTGGAAAAGAATCTCTTTGTGTAGAGCGACCAAAAAGCGCGACTACTATTACACACAAGTTTGGACACAAAGCACGCGACTTTATACGCGAGTATCTTATTGTTAATCGCACAAGAGTACATTTCGGTATCTCGAAAGCTTGCAATATCTGTACGCGGATAGAATTGTGAGGGCAGACGAGCGATCGTACCCCAGAACGATTGTATCTCAACAATTTAGTGCCTGCGCTGTCGCGTTCCTAGAGATAGATTTAAATTTATCGACCATTTATTATACGCGAGTACAGAATATATACATATATATATATATATATATATAAAATATATATACATTTACACGCACGTGTAATCGTGCGAGAGAGAATATATAAAATATATTGATAAATGCGTATATATATATATATACACGATTATGAAAGCTTGGCACTATCTGCACTATCTGTAGATTACTTCTGTAACGCCTAGCAATTGTCTCCACTCTGTGATCCGTGTGCAATATACGTAGCTGCGATTATTCTCGCAGCCATTATCGTGATTATTAATTGTTATCGTCACTATTACTGTCACTATTATTATTATTATCATTATTATAGTTGCTGTCGCTGTTATTAATTGCTCCCATGAGGAGTGTCAAGCAAAACGACTCGCTTAGAATATTACCGCCCCGCACCTGACATCGTCCGCGTTTAAATTCGTCACTATCATGGCATGCATCCTACGACCATCCGATAGGTTTGCACCCGGGCGCGGATCAAATAGAAAGCATTGTTATACTACGTTACTGATATTACTTTTAACGCAGCGAGAAGCTGAGGCGTCGTCACAGCGGGACTCATTACAAGGGATGCGTGCGTCCGCGTGATTTGTGTACGTGAGTTGGTCAGTATCTAGTAGATAGCGATCATAAATCTAATTGCATTCGCAAATAAGAAATCTAGCGCGTAAGATTGGGTGATTTTAATTATTCGAATCGTTGACTGACGTCACTGTCGAGAAATCGGGACAATCCAGAAACGAAATTCGGGGAAGGTTTCTGTTCCGGGATCGCGCGATTTCGCGCCGTGACGTTATTCTTTTAGAATATAAGTCTAATAGTTATATAGTAAATCTAACGAGAGTTAAAATAAGCACACTTATACACTTATGATCGCCCAAAATGATCTGCACCAAATCTAGATAGATTTTTCAAGCTTCGGGATAATTATCTATATAGGATAGTTTTTTGACGCTTCGACGATGCGGATATGATATTCTAAGATACACTTTAATCCGATATCACTTATTAAGAGTATATTTTCGCGAGCAAATTCGCGCACAGATCTTTTTCTCCGCCCTTAAGGAAAGAAATGAAGAAAAGGATGGAAAAGGAGGAGCAAAAACGGAACAAGCAGAGTGCCTATTCTTTATCACTCAAAAACGCTCGCTCACTTTTGTAAGTCTATAACTCTAACAAGTAAGGAATTAAGTAACGTTTTTTGCACACTCTACTCTTATCTCGACGGAAGATCGATGATAACAAAAATAAAATGACATTTTCTAGTGGTAGATATCTTGTAATGTAATGAAATCATAAATGATTTTCTTTATTTGACAAATCGATTTGTTCGATATGATAAACGAATAACACGTAATTACGATCTCTTGTTAGAACTAATTTCGTTTTATGCACAGCGTGTCTCAAAGTATATAATCAGGTAGTTTTGATTTTAATCATCAGCTCCCAAGCATTATTATTCGCTGAACAACTTGTAAACGGGAGAATAGATTCTAGCAAGTTTGTGGTATCTAAAAAGTGTTTTGCATTGCGCATTATCGCGTGCCAAACCATTTCACTATCATTAGTCGACGGATTCGCAACTGCTAAGGCAGTCACGATCTTTTCAACGACCAAATTAATCGCAATGATGACTGTAGATTAGAACGGTCGAAATTTTCTTAATCTCTACATCGTTATGAGGAATAGATAATATAGATATGAATAATACAAGGAGGAACGATGCTGTGATTCAAATATGGGGAAGTGTTTGGATCATCGCCCGTTCCCAAAAAAATATTTCACAGGAAAGATCGAATGCGAAGAAAATTTCAAACTAATAATATATTATTATTTATTGACCAATATATTAGTCGCGATTAAAGAAACGCTGTCATAGAAAAGATAAAAATTAGTTTCTAACTAGAACATGCAAAGCTTGGAGATTTTCAGAATAAGATACCTCTTTGATATCGAATAGTTTCATTCTAGTATCCCACGAATGTCCGAAATATCGCGTATGTGCTCTGGCGATCAGAGATTACCACGCCTCGAAATTACGATTATCGTCAATGACCTGCATTCTACGAGAAACAGTGACAACTAGTAAATGTATTTGGTATAAACTACGGTTACTTCGACGATGAGCACGCAAATAGGATCGTATCTTTTTAACGATCCTAGAAAAACGATTTTTCATCAAGTACAATATAAGTAACTGTAATTATTATAATTTAGCTTATGAATTTTCTTTTGTATTTTCAAAGTCAGTATAAATATTGTCACCCAAAATCGTACTTCTACTTTACACTGTAAACGTTAATTACCGCGCGATATATTGTATCTTATAAGTCGAAATAAGTTGTTTCTTCTTACATGTAACCAGCGATAAGATTTAATGTAAGCGCTAAAACTGCTTGCTCTTAAGAGAGACTACGCGGTATATCGTATAATACTCTAATTATTAAGCTTTTGCGGATTGCTAAAATTCGTCATATTATAAATATATATATATATATATATACACACATATACATATATATATATACACACATATACATATATATATATACACACATATACATATATATATATACACACATATACATATATATATATACACACATATACATATATATATATACACACATATACATATATATATATACACACATATACATATATATATATACACACATATACATATATATATATACACACATAT